ATAACTTATCATGATAATAATCAATAAGGAAATCATGTATGACTCTGTTTGAAATAGCTGAGATGAAACACATGGTGTGGATAAAGTGAAACTGATCATGAAATCATTGAACAGACTTTACTGATGGGATGTGTGATCAAATGAAATGTTTAGATCATTAATAAAGGTTTGTCTTTCCAAAACAAAAACAGGATGTTCTTCTTGTGTTATGTCCAAGGTGCCATACGAAGCTGATGGAGAACATGTGGAAGTGATCTGAGACTAAATGAAGCTCAGCGCAAGTTCAACCAGGAAGACCGTCTTTACTCCTTCATTTACTATTTACATGTTACTACTCTCTCTCTCCTCTCAATAAGTGTCCACTCCCCAGCTTAACCAAATCAGTGGATGTTTGCTGGAACTGTTTGTAAACAGCGTGTTTCCTGACGGACACACACAGCGCTGAGACCGGTCAGGTAGAGACCGGTCTCCAGTTAGCACCGATGCAGACTCGCTGTTTGAGGGCTTGATAACCCACTCCCCCTCCACACTCGTTGGTTTGGAACAGCACTTAATGTGGCGGACCCTCCGCGCAAACGGAGGGGTAGTGTGTAGGGGTAGGGGGTAGGGGCAGTGGCGGTTCTAGAACATTTTACATGGGGTGGCAAAGGGGGGGCAAGAGGTCATGCCAGGGTGGCATGGGAGGGCGGACAGTACGTGGTATTTGATACTGTATATATAACCTATTTATTGTTAAATCATGCCCTAACACAAGTGTTCTTAATGCACAAGAGAAACAAGGTGTTCAGACCAACAAACTCAAATATAGTATAAAACAGCAGAAAATACTCTTGATACCCTAGAACTCTGCGTACTGTAGTAAAAGTACTTAGTTATAATGAAGTACACAAATGACATGTGCTTTTAAATGTTCCTCATTATGCCTGTGTCCTCTTTGTGTTGCATGATGGGAGAGGAGCAGTTCATCTGCATCCTGCTGAGGATGAGGAGCCTTTGATAGCAGGGGATGTGAAGGCTGACATTTACAGAGGAAGGGGGGGGGGGGGCTGAGAGAGGGTTTTGTTCTACACCTGTTTGTTTGAAAGACAAGAGAGTAGGTGAGAATAAAGACGGAGTCGCTTTGACCCTCTGCATGTCACTCAGAGTCATTACAGTCTGCTGTGAGGGGGGGGTTTCATTAGTATCATTGTATCTGTTCTCTTACTTTAAAAAACAACCGTAATTGGGAGAAAATACGTTGACATTTCTACTCAATAACTAAAATACCCTGATTTCCAACCTGATGAGTCAGACTGGGATCCACCGGTCGTTTGGAGGGCGGCTTCTCTCACGGTTCACCGGTCGTTACGTAACCGCGTACTTTAACTTAACCTCTGAGTGGGAAGAGTTACGTAACGCTCCTGTTGGCCTGGATTTCATGTGGAACTTTAAAAGGAGCAGAGAGAGGAAAGGTTGGACCGTTAACAAATGTGTGATATTGTGGAGAGGGAGAAGTACTCAGATCTTGTACTTGAGTAAAAGTAGAAGTACTCAGATCTTGCACTTGAGTAAAAGTAGAAGTACTCAGATCTTGTACTTGAGTAAAAGTAGAAGTACTCAGATCTTGTATAGTGAAAGTAGAAGTACTCAGATCTTGCTCTTGAGTAAAAGTAGAAGTACTCAGATCTTGTATAGTGAAAGTAGAAGTACTCAGATCTTGCTCTTGAGTAAAAGTAGAAGTACTCAGATCTTGCTCTTGAGTAAAAGTAGAAGTACTCAGATCTTGTACTTGAGTAAAAGTAGAAGTACTCAGATCTTGTTCTTGAGTAAAAGTAGAAGTACTCAGATCTTGCTCTTGAGTAAAAGTAGAAGTACTCAGATCTTGTACTTGAGTAAAAGTAGAATTACTCAGATCTTCTACTTGAGTAAAAGTAGAAGTACTCAGATCTTGTTCTTGAGTAAAAGTAGAAGTACTCAGATCTTGTACTTGAGTAAAAGTAGAAGTACTCAGATGTTGTACTTGAGTAAAAGTAGAAGTACTCAGATCTTGTGCTTGAGTAAAAGTAGAAGTACTCAGATCTTGTACTTGAGTAAAAGTAGAAGTACTCAGATCTTGTGCTTGAGTAAAAGTAGAAGTACTCCGATCTTGTACTTGAGTAAAAGTAGAAGTACTCAGATCTTGTGCTTGAGTAAAATTAGAAGTACTCAGATCTTGTGCTTGAGTAAAAGTAGAAGTACTCAGATCTTGAACTTGAGTAAAAGTAGAAGTACTCAGATCTTGTTCTTGAGTAAAAGTAGAAGTACTCAGATCTTGTGCTTGAGTAAAATTAGAAGTACTCAGATCTTGTACTTGAGTAAAGTAGAAGTACTCAGATCTTGTGCTTGAGTAAAAGTAGAAGTACTCAGATCTTGTATAGTAAAAATAGAAGTACTCAGATATTGTACTTGAGTAAAGGTAGAAGTACTCAGATCTTGTATAGTAAAAGTAGAAGTACTCAGATCTTGTACTTGAGTAAAAGTAGAAGTACTCAGATCTTGTACTTGAGTAAAAGTAGAAGTACTCAGATCTTGTATAGTAAAAGTAGAAGTACTCAGATCTTGTACTTGAGTAAAAGTAGAAGTAGCCTACTCAGGTCTTGTACTTGAGTAAAAGTAGAAGTACTCAGATCTTGTACTTGAGTAAAAGTAGAAGGACTCAGATCTTGTAAAGTAAAAGTAGAAGTACTCAGATATTGTACTTGAGTAAAAGTAGAAGTACTCAGATCTTGTATAGTAAAAGTAGAAGTACTCAGATCTTGTACTTGAGTAAAAGTAGAAGTACTCAGATCTTGTACTTGAGTAAAAGTAGAAGTACTCAGATCTTGTATAGTAAAAGTAGAAGTACTCAGATCTTGTGCTTGAGTAAAAGTAGAAGTACTCAGATCTTGTACTTGAGTAAAAGTAGAAGTACTCAGATCTTGTACTTGAGTAAAAGTAGAAGTACTCAGATCTTGTACTTGAGTAAAAGTAGAAGTACTCAGATCTTGTATAGTAAAAGTAGAAGTACTCAGATCTTGTACTTGAGTAAAAGTAGAAGTACTCAGATCTTGTACTTGAGTGAAAGTAGAAGTACTCAGATCTTGTAGTTCAGTAAAAGTAGAAGTACTCAGATCTTGTACTTGAGTAAAGTAGAAGTACTCAGATCTTGTATAGTAAAAGTAGAAGTACTCAGATCTTGTACTTGAGTAAAAGTAGAAGTACTCAGATCTTGTTCTTGAGTAAAAGTAGAATACTCAGATCTTGTATAGTAAAAATAGAAGTACTCAGATATTGTACTTGAGTAAAAGTAGAAGTACTCAGATCTTGTATAGTAAAAGTAGAAGTACTCAGATCTTGTGCTTGAGTAAAAGTAGAAGTACTCAGATCTTGTACTTGAGTAAAAGTAGAAGTACTCAGATCTTGTGCTTGAGTAAAAGTAGAAGTACTCAGATCTTGTTCTTGAGTAAAAGTAGAAGTACTCAGATCTTGTATAGTAAAAATAGAAGTACTCAGATATTGTACTTGAGTAAAAGTAGAAGTACTCAGATCTTGTATAGTAAAAGTAGAAGTACTCAGATCTTGTACTTGAGTAAAAGTAGAAGTACTCAGATCTTGTATAGTAAAAGTAGAAGTACTCAGATCTTGTGCTTGAGTAAAAGTAGAAGTACTCAGATCTTGTACTTGAGTAAAGTAGAAGTACTCAGGTCTTGTACTTGAGTAAAGTAGAAGTACTCAGATCTTGTAGTTCAGTAAAAGTAGAAGTACTCAGATCTTGTACTTGAGTAAAGTAGAAGTACTCAGATCTTGTATAGTAAAAGTAGAAGTACTCAGATCTTGTACTTGAGTAAAAGTAGAAGTACTCAGATCTTGTTCTTGAGTAAAAGTAGAAGTACTCAGATCTTGTATAGTAAAAATAGAAGTACTCAGATATTGTACTTGAGTAAAAGTAGAAGTACTCAGATCTTGTATAGTAAAAGTAGAAGTACTCAGATCTTGTACTTGAGTAAAAGTAGAAGTACTCAGATCTTGTACTTGAGTAAAAGTAGAAGTACTCAGATCTTGTATAGTAAAAGTAGAAGTACTCAGATCTTGTGCTTGAGTAAAAGTAGAAGTACTCAGATCTTGTACTTGAGTAAAAGTAGAAGTACTCAGATCTTGTGCTTGAGTAAAAGTAGAAGTACTCAGATCTTGTACTTGAGTAATAGTAGAAGTACTCAGATCTTGTACTTGAGTAATAGTAGAAGTACTCAGATCTTGTTCTTGAGTAAAAGTAGAAGTACTCAGATCTTGTATAGTAAAAATAGAAGTACTCAGATATTGTACTTGAGTAAAAGTAGAAGTACTCAGATCTTGTATAGTAAAAGTAGAAGTACTCAGATATTGTACTTGAGTAAAAGTAGAAGTACTCAGATCTTGTACTTGAGTAAAAGTAGAAGTACTCAGATCTTGTATAGTAAAAGTAGAAGTACTCAGATCTTGTGCTTGAGTAAAAGTAGAAGTACTCAGATCTTGTATAGTAAAAGTAGAAGTACTCAGATCTTGTACTTGAGTAAAAGTAGAAGTACTCAGATCTTGTACTTGAGTGAAAGTAGAAGTACTCAGATCTTGTAGTTCAGTAAAAGTAGAAGTACTCAGATCTTGTACTTGAGTAAAGTAGAAGTACTCAGATCTTGTATAGTAAAAGTAGAAGTACTCAGATCTTGTACTTGAGTAAAAGTAGAAGTAGCCTACTCAGGTCTTGTACTTGAGTAAAAGTAGAAGTACTCAGATCTTGTACTTGAGTAAAAGTAGAAGGACTCAGATCTTGTAAAGTAAAAGTAGAAGTACTCAGATCTTGTACTTGAGTAAAAGTAGATTGAGTACTTTAGTTTAGGAATTGGAAGACATCCATGTTTTGATGTCATGCAGGCAGTTGATGAGAGACTGAGGGGGGAGCTGGGAGGATGGAGTGGTGCTGAGATACAGTTGGGTATCCATGATGTCGGATGATCTGGCCGAGGGGATGTACTTAAAGTATAACAAGTTAAGATAAACATTGCACAGAAAAATTGCCTTCATGTGTGAATATCATTATATTTGTAAGCGACATTTCTAGATACTATTGTTGAATCACGTAGCATTTAACTGTTTTAGACAAACAAAGTTCTGATTTACTTTTTGTAAAATATTTAAATAATTGTACTCTTTTGTAAGTTGGAAGAGTCCATTAGTTTAATGTTGAGGGATGCATTTTGTTAGAAGTAGCTCAAGCTGTTAAAGAAATGTAGTGGAGTAAAAAAACATTGTTTCCCTTTTAATTGTAGTGGAGTAGAAGTATAAAGTAGCATAAAATGGAAATACTCAGGTAAAAGTACAAGAACCTCATAATTGTACTTAAGTACAGTACTTGAGTAAATGTAGTAAATTACTTCCCACCTCTGATATGGACATCAGTTGGGTTTCAAATAACATTTCCAGTTTTTCTAGAAGGTAGCCTACTCAATTGTTGTCTTGGCATGTCTCAGAGAGACAGTTGTTCCACAATATTAATTTCCTGAACTATTGCTTTCCACTCTGAAGTTGCTGGACATTGTCTACTCTTATCTTTGGGATTTGTTGACTGTACCAGGGTTCAGATGTGATATCAGACCGTGAGGGGCAGGACGTGCTATTAAGTAGGAAGTCATTTCATATTAATTTTGTTCGGAGAGCAACTAGGTGTGCATCAGAAAGTTTTCCTCTACAAATAAAATAATACTTTACTTCAGTAGGCTACTTGAAACACTCGAGACAATGGCCGAAGAAAACAGGTAAGAACATCAAAACATGCCTCTTTTCTCATTCATCATATTGTATGTTCATGTATACTATCATAATAAATTGAGCGAGTGGCGTGTGACATTCGAACCTTCAACTTGAATGACCATAGTGGTAACGTCACATATATTACGTATTAAAAATAGCTTGTGTGCAGTTATAACTTGTCATGTTGTTGTTGCAAACTAGCAAACTGAGTTAGCACTTAGCAGATAGCTAACATTAGAGTTAACGACAAACATGCAATTTGAAGTTAAGTTCACTTTCAAATACTTGTTGTTAAAGTGCGTGTGCCAAGGGCTTCGTCGATAGCAGCATTCATGTCGACGTCAAGGTAATTTCACGTGCATCACATATTTACACAGCACATGTCATAGTGTTTGCTAGCTTAGCTTAAATTTGTGCTTTCATGAGCTTAACCACTGACAACTTGTAGTAACAACGTAATGTCTATTTAACGGTTTCAAGGTGAATTAAGCGATCAAAGTACATCTCACCGTATGAGTCAGTTTACTACTACCGTGCCATGTGGGCTACACCAGGGGTTCCCCAACCCCACAGGAGACAACCGTTTGATTGCAGACTGTTATGTTTATGTGGGGAAATGGTGGTGCATACATTATTTGAGATATATTTCAAACTCGGACTTCATTTTAAGGACATGTCGGCCAGGGGTGTAGAGCTATTTGTTTAAGCACCGGATTGGCAAAACAGGAGAGTAAACCAGTCTGCCTTGAATTAATGTCCGGGACTCTCACGATCTGCTGCCCGCAGCTGTTTTATAGAAGGAAACCCTCCTTCATGAAATGGCTGCAGCAGCAGGAGGCAGCGGAACGTACTCGGTAAAGAGCTGTGCCTTTTTACGCACCGCCTTCGCTGTGTTTAACTTAATCAGAACAGTTTAAGAGTGACTGCAGGCTGCTACGTGTTAACCACACACACCTCTCCACACATCGAACTGCCCGATTACTCCCCCTTTTATTAGTTTTATGAAGGAGATGTCCAGTCAGTCACCAAGGCGCCTGATGTGTCCGACACCGGCATATATGCGGCTGTTCCCAAAATAAATTAGTTTAATCTTAATCTCGATGTAGTGCTAAATGCTGTCGGGAGTGCACCGGAACGAACGACACTATCATAATATCTTCTGAAAACAAATGCCAGTGTCACACACACACACGCACACACACACACACACACACACACACACACACACACACACACACACACACACACACACACACACACACACACACACACACACACACACACACACACACACACACACACACACACACACCACACACACACACACACACACACACACACATACATACATACATACATACATACATACATACATACATACATACATACATACATACATACATACATACATACATACATACATACACACACATAATGCGCCTTCTCCTCGTTTTCCCAGCATTCACTGGATTATCCGTAAATCATACAAACAAAACCAAAACGTTGATTTATCTGTTTTCCCTTTTTGGTTTAAAAACTGAATAACGTCGGTTTTTTGGTTTTCCGAAAAACCAAAAAACAACACCGGTTCTTTTTTAAACTTTGTTAATATGTTTTGGATGCATATTGTTCTAGTATTTGTTCAGGCTGTTACATACAATTAGCCTCTGTTGCTACCTGCTGGTGGTGAGTAAATATTAAAATCAGTTAAAATTGACAACCGGTCCGCGATTTATTTTTAATGTACCGGTCCTTGGCACAATAAAGGTTGGGAACCCCTGGGCTACACATTGATGACAACCTGATGTAAAAGTAACTAAATACAGTTACTCAAGTAGGCTACTGTACCGGTACTTAAATACAATTTTGAGGTACTTGTACTTTACATGAGTATCTGTATTTTTGCTACTTTGTATGTCTACCCCACTACAATTCAGAGGTTAATCGTGTACTTTTACTCCACTTAAATAAGACTTTAGTTACACCTGGACTAAATACCATGGATGTATAATAAGAACTAAATAAATAAAACTAAAGAAAAGAGCTAAATACCCAGCAGTAAATAAAATAATAAAAATTAGTTCCGCGGTGTTAACCAGCTGTGACAAACATATGAATTCATTCAAAACAAATGATATGTATCATTCTAAATGGGCCAATCTGCATAATGAGTACTTTTACTTTTGGTACTTTAAGTATATTTTGATGCTAATTATTTTATACTTTTACTTGATAAAGATTTTGAGTGCAGGACTTTGACTTGTAACAGAGTATTCCTACTCTGGAACTTTAATTCTACTTTAAGTACAACATCTGGGTACTTCTTCCTCATCTGCAACCTGCTGTGTGTGCTTTTCTGCACCCAAACAGGATTATTATGGCAAGGTGCTGAAGAAAACCTCTGACCTGAAGAGCAATGCCTGTGTGGCTCCAGCTCAGCCCATTCCTGCCTTCATCCGCCAGGCTCTGAAGAAAGTGCACCCTGAAGTCACCGCCAGGTAACCGGGCAGCTTTTGTTTCACCCTCAGTGAAGTGTTAGCAACCATCACTGATCCACAGAAGCGTACTGTTGGTGTCTCTCTTCTCCCTCAGGTACTATGGCTGTGGTCTGGTGGTGCCAGAGTGCTTGGAGGGCTGCAGGATCCTGGACCTGGGCAGCGGGAGTGGGAGGGACGTGTACATGCTGAGTGAGCTGGTAGGCGAGAAGGGCCACGTCACTGGCATTGACATGACTGAGGACCAGGTATTGTATTACACATATTTATGGTAAATATTGTATTCTTCTTGATATACATCATTGTGTTCATTCTGTATCAATGTTTCTTGTAGCTGTATAGCATGTTTGAATACTTAGTACATTTAATTTAATTGTATAATTATAATAATTTATGTATTTTTTCATTATATTAATAATGATCCCTTTTTAATTTATCATTATTATTTATATTTATTTATTTATTTTAATTGGTGAGTGTGTACTTTTTCTGTACTGCTCTTAAGTTTACGTTACATTTCAATAGCTCACACTTGTATCCAAAGCACCTCTACAGAAGCAGATCACACACTGTTGAATTTGGGGTTCAGTATCTTGCCTACAACCTACAAAAAATATATATATTTCAGCTTTAAATGCAAGAGTGTTCTATTTTCTAGCTTGACGTGGCCAGGACGTATGTGGACTATCACACGAAAGAGTTTGGCTTCAAGAAGCCCAATGTGAGTTTTGTCCAGGGCTACATCGAGGCTCTAACAGAAGCGGGTCTGGAAAAGAGCTCCTTTGATATCATTATGTAAGAAGTATTTCTCAACTCTCTTCCTCTGTCTTTATTTTGAATTGTAATGCTGTATACTTCTAGAAATAATGTGTTCAAACGTTTGTTTTCTGTCATAGTTCCAACTGTGTGGTGAATCTCTCTCCAGACAAGAAGCGAGTACTGGCTGAAGCCTACAGTGTGCTCAAGGTATGCTTCTCTCTCACAAAACATGAAATAAATGCTATGAAAAATAATTTGAACATTCACCGTTTACCTGTTGATCTTTAGGATGGTGGTGAGCTGTACTTCAGTGATGTCTACAGCAGTGGAAGATTAACAGGGGAAATAAAAAAATCATAAAGTCCTCTGGGGTGTGTAAAATTAATATCCTACAGCCATAAAAAGCTCACAGATAGTGCTACCATATCAAGATGTAATTTATCTTGGCAGGCGAGTGTATTGGTGGAGCGCTCTGGTGGGAGGATCTGCTGCAGTTGGCAGAAGAAGTTGGTTTCAGCCCGCCACGCCTTGTAACAGCCAGCTTCATCACCGTGGACAACAAAGAACTGCAGGACATCCTCGGTTTGATATTTATTATATTTGATTTTTTCATAACTTTCTTTATTAAACACATTTTTTAAAGCATGTTATAAAGGAAAAGTGGGAGACACATTTCCAGACTGTGATTGATTTTTAAGTAGAGAAATGTAATCTTTTAACCAAAAAGATGTGATAGTAGTTAGGATTTCTGCTATTGGTTCTATTTTATTCTTAATATGTTTCTTGTTTACTCATCTTTCTATATCACGTTGTTTAGCTGTTGAAGTAACAAGCATTCATTTTGAAACTAGACATAATTAAGGTTCTGCCAACATAATTTTACGACACAAATTCTCTTTACTGATTTAAATATTTAAATAATTTTTTTTCTAAATCAATCCTGAAAAACCCTGCTTTTAGAGGCTTTCACACCCATAGGTGTCCACTTATTCTTGCTAAGTAGACGTAGGCTCTGGTTGAAAGGGGGCAGAGAATCTAATGAGGTCACCAGACATGAACCATTAAGAGTGAAACTTGTCCCACACTAACATGTGCGTTAAGCTCACAGTACAGAGGGGGAGATGTCAATCAAGCACAGTTTGCACATGCCCACAGAGAGGTCTAATTAGGCATACATTGGAAACACCTGTGTGGATTGTGCAGGTGTTAATAGACAGTTTCATTAGGTTTAAATGTGTTACTACGTGTCCTTACTTACCTTTAGTCCTGTGCATCTAGTAGCATTCTGGACATGTTTTCTGGTCACCGAATATCTAATTGACCACTAGTTTTCTCTTTAGAGTTTCATGTTTTTGTTATATACTTTACATTCTGTGCAGTTATGTTGACAGTGGCATTCTCTGGTAGCTAAATTGCAAGGAACGTGTTGTATTTAACAGGAAATATTACATTCAAATCCAACTTTAATTTGAAAAAAGAAATTGAGAAACCCAACATTGCAATTCTTAGAAATCCCATTAGCATTGAACAGCTCCAACTTTTACATTGTTTGTTGCATTGTGGAACAAACAATATAAAAAAAAAGGAACAGATTCCGTATTGAGATTTTTCCAGCGATTTAATACTCAAATCATCTACATGTTTTTGGTATCCACCATACAAATATTTATAGTATCTCTGTAAATGAATTTATTCAGGTTTGCTTCATTTAGATTTACAAAACTAAGGGTAGGTGTATATTGTGCTGCAAAGCTTTGGTTAATGTTTAACTTATGTTAAATTGAGTTCTACTGAAGTCGTATCACAAACTGTGTTTGTGAAACTGTTGTTCATTGAATATACCATACAAGACATTTTAGATTGTTCTCGATGTTGACTGATTCTGTTCTCTCTGACCTGAGGCCTGTACTACGAAGCTGGATTTTCGCTTAGCCGGCTAAATTCAGGGAAATCTCGGGCTTTCCGGTCCTACGACGCTGGTTCTCTTTTTAGCAGGCTAGATTTCCATGGTAACTTATGCTGAGCGGCAAACCTGCTCCGGAGCAGGTTAGGTGGCAGGCTAAGAGATCAACTCAGTGAAAGCACTGCCTGCTGACCAATCAGAGCTCCGTGTGCGGAGTTTAAAGCGATCAATTCATATGACAGGAGGAGAAAGGAAATACAGTTTAAACTGCCGTTGCAGGAAAGACGACCGGCCAAAATCAACTGACTGTGTGAACGTGAAAATTAATAGAATATCCCCTCCCATCTTCAGAGCAATCTGACTATTATAACATTAGCGTTAAGAAAGCTTACTTAAATATCTGCCACGACATAAGTAACCGGATCAGAGTAACATTAAGTACAGTCCGCGGCACTGTGAGTGCAGACGTAGATGTGTCCCATTATCATTCATATCATATCACATCATAATGTATCATATATTTCCTTATCTGAGTCAGCTGAGCCGTATCTGGCCGTGCAACACTCACAGTGTCACATACTGTATGCAGAAGTATTATTTTAAGCAACACATTAAATTGACGAAACACTCGAGTCAAATGTAATTAAAGTCAGATCGTGTCTTGGACGGGGCAGTGATATCATAAACCTGTTAATGTACGCATTCAAACACTTTTTCTGTTACCAGCTGTATTCACCTTGCAGGTGCAGCTATGTGGCTTTTATCCTGGATAAAGTGTTTAAGTCATGGATGTTTAAAGTTTAACTTCTTCATATTTGACTAATATTAAAGTTCACTTTTCATTCAGGAAGTATGACGCTGCGCTGTCAGTACGCTTCTCCGTGTTTGAGATTGGTCGAATGCTCCAAATACCACCCCTTTCATGTGAACGCGCACCTAACTAGATAGGACACGGCGGCTTGAGCGATCCACTTGATATCCAGCGTCGTAGTACAGTTTAGCGCCAGCGCGTATGTTTTGGATTACGCCAACCGGCTAACTCCAACATATCCAGGTTAAGTTGAACCAGCTTCGTAGTACAGGCCTCTGTTCTGACAATACAGGCGACTTCAAGTTTGTCTCTGCCACATACCGCCTGTTCAAGGTCCCTAAAGGCGCTACCAATCCCTGTCAGGTCATATATAATGGGAGCATTACAGGAGTAGAGGACAGCTTCCAGTTTGACACTCAGTTCACATTCAAGGTCTGTACATACCACAGTTACTTCAGCTCAAACTCTGTATGCACATTTTATAAGACATGTGTGGATGTCACAGGTGGATGAAGTGGTGGAGGTTGATGGAGAAGTGGCCACCATACTGACCCATTCCAGATTCAGGGAAGATTTCACTCTCCAGCCTCAGGGAGGCCCCCGTGAGTCCTGCGGAGTCAAACCTAAGGTCAGTGTCACGACTGAATTCCAGGATATGTAAATGTCTGTATGATTATTTCTTTGTTAAACACTAGAGGTCAGTGTGTTTGTCGTATTCGTTACAAGTGTGTGACACACCCAGAGAGCCCCTCTGTCTGAACTGTGCACACAGTCCCACACACATGTGTGCACCAGGACGCATGCTGCAAGTTCTTACACACACTCACATACGCAGTCAAACATACATACGCACACATCCACACGCACAAGGTCAAGCAGCTGTCTTGGAGTCATAACCAGACTGTGGAGTCCTGCTGGGGAACATTGAACAAGAAAGAATGTTCTCTTCTCAGCTAACGGAATGCCATCTTATCAGCTCTCATGGTCGTTCTGTGCACACACACTCACATCTACAAACACCACTATATATTTTTCAATGACTACCCTAATCCTATGATCACTTGCAACATTTTATTCTGCTATTGAGGAAGTTCCATTTGGTTTTTGTGGAGCAAAAAACGAAATTGAAAATGTATCATCTGTCCCTGGGTTCACCCTTTGGCCTGTCCCTCTGAAGTAAAATCATGTCCAAGATACTTTTCCCTTATCAGCGCGGCTAGTTGGTGATAATAGGTAATACATAGCCTTTGATCTTGTTTTTGAAAGCATTGCTAATGTGAAATGTTTATTTCACGAACAACTAGTATCTCATAAAAGAAATAGCATGTGGACACAAGAATTAAAAAACTCAACATACAACACCTTTTTATTCTGCTATTATGAATATTTTTTAGGATGTTTAATCCTGGAATATCTGAAAAAAAAGTGAGAATAACCTTTTCAAACTTTTCTATAATTCTTAGATTTGCTTTCACACCATAAATATAATACATACGTACATAAAACTGTGTGTGTGTTGTTAACTCCTACTGATTTCTACCTTGTTTTACTTTTGATACAGGCGGGCACTGTGGATCCCTTCCAGCTGGTCCTTCAGCTGGGGAAACAACAGCCAGGTTCAGCCACAGGGGGATGCTGCAGCACTCAGTCTACCAACTTATTTTACAACTAAAAGCTCTTTTCAAATGAAGAGCAGGTTGTAACCGAGGCTCTGTGTCAGTCAGAGTCTGAGCGCTGCTCCTCCTCCTGAATGACTCAGAGTTTGATAAGCCCTCCCTCTTCTTCCTGCTCTCAGACACAGCCAGCTCCACTCTGTACTTCCTGGTTCCTCCCCTTCAGATCCACACTGAGGAGGAGGGGTGTAACCAACATGTGGGTAAAGAACAAGAGCTGATAGGCCACATTCACCGCCCACACACATCCTGTTCAGATCAGCTGTCACACTAGTTTCAGCTCTCAGGAAGTGAAACTCACACACTCGCTGCTACTGAGAGGGGAAATGGCGCAGAAAGGAGTTCAGCTGGAGCGGGAAACCTTCTCTTGTCCCATCTGTCTGGATCTACTGAAGGATCCGGTGACTACTTCCTGTGGACACAGCTACTGCATGAAGTGTATTAAAGGCTTCTGGGACGGAGAGGATGAGAAGAAGATCCACAGCTGCCCTCAGTGTAGGCAGAGCTTCACACCGAGGCCTGTCCTGCTGAAGAACACCATGTTAGCAGCTTTAGTGGAGGAGCTGAAGAAGACTGGACCCCCACCTGCTCCTGCTGATCTCTGCTATGCTGGAGCTGAAGATGTGGCCTGTGATGTCTGCACTGGGAGGAAACTGAGAGCCTGTAAGTCCTGTCTGGTGTGTCTGGCCTCTTACTGTGACAAACACCTCCAGCCTCATTATGAATCACCTGTCTTTAAAAAACACAAGCTGGTGGAGCCCTCCAAGAAGCTCCAGGAGAACATCTGCTCTCGTCACGACGAGGTGATGAAGATGTTCTGCCGCACTGATCAGCAGTGTATCTGTTATCTCTGCTCTGTGGACGAACACAAAGGCCACGACACGGTGTCAGCTGCAGCAGAGAGGACTGAGAGGCAGAGAGAGCTGGAGGGGAGTCGACTAAACATCCAGCAGAGAATCCAGGACGGAGAGAAGGAGGTGAAGCTGCTTCAGCAGGAGGTGGAGGCCGTCAATGGCTCTGCTGATAAAGCAGTGGAGGACAGTGAGAAGATGTTCACTGAGCTGATCCGTCTCATGGAGAAAAGAAGCTCTGATGTGAAGCAGCAGCTCAGATCCCAGCAGAAGAGAGAAGTGAGTCGAGTCAAAGAGCTTCAGGAGAAGCTGGAGCAGGAGATCTCTGAGCTGAAGAGGAGAGACGCTGAGCTGAAGCTGCTGTCTCACACAGAGGATCACAACCAGTTTCTGCACAGCTATCCCTCACTGTCAGCCCTCAGTGAACCTACACACTCCTCCAGCATCAACATCCGTCCTCTGAGCTACTTTGAGGACGTGACGGCGGCCCTGTCAGCAGTCAGAGACAAACTACAGGACGTCCTGAGAGAGGAATGGACAAACGTCTCACCGACTGAGGTGGAGATTTTACTGTCAGCAGCAGAGCCCACCACCAGAGCTGGGTTCTTACAATATTCACAGGAAGTCACTCTGGATCCAAACACAGCACACACACAGCTGTTATTATCTGAGGGGAGCAGAAAAGCAACACTCATGGATCAACATCAGTCTTATTCTAGTCACACAGACAGATTCACTCCACGTTTTCAGGTCCTGAGTAGAGAGAGTCTGACTGGACGTTGTTACTGGGAGGTGGAGTGGAGAGGGAGAGGAGTTTATGTAGCAGTCGCATACAAGAATATCAGCAGAGCAGGGGGGGAGGGAAGTGAATTTGGATACAATGACAAATCTTGGTCCTTAGATTGTGACCAAAACAGATATTCATTTCGTTACAACAGTATCAACACTCCCGTCTCAGGTCCTCGGTCCTCCAGAGTAGGAGTGTACCTGGATCACAGAGCAGGTATTCTGTCCTTCTACAGCGTCTCTGAAACCATGACTCTCCTCCACAGAGTGCAGACCACATTCACTCAGCCGCTACATGCTGGAGTTCGGCTTTATTATAAATATGGAGACACTGCTGAGTTTTGTAAACTCAAATAGCCTGAAGTCATTGGAGGAACTCTTCTACTTCTTAAACTCACCGTGTGTCCATCAGAGCTGATTGTTCATGTCTTCACTGTGCAGAGATCAGCTGTCAATCAAACATGATGGGATGTGCTTCAACATCTCCTCATGAGTTGTTCTGTAAAGGTTGGACTTTCTTCCGGCTCCTTCCTGTGTCTGTGTAGCCATGGAGGCTGTCACTGCTCAGGAGGATCCTTGTTCACCTGAACTGATATGTAAACTTTGCTCTAAATATGTGTTGGATATTTCTTTTGATTCATGTTGTTGTTTCTCTTGTAATGCACGAGTCTTCAGAGAGAAAGCAGCAGAGCTTCTTTTATTCTACACATTTTATTCTGCCCACTTTCTAAAACAATAGAGGCATTTATAATCACATGTATTATTTTGACAGATTAAATCTTATTGTTGCCCAAATTAACTACAAATGAGTTCCCAGATGGTTATAACACTTATTTCATCATAACATGTTTATTTAAAATGATATTACTTACTGTCATGATCATAATCAATAAGTACATCATTCATTATTCTCCTGTAAATAGCTTAGAGTCTTTGCTTGGGAAATAAAATGTTATTGTTTTGCAGACTAATTGTTGTTGTTGTTGTTGTTGTTGTCCAAATAGAAAGTGGGCACTCATAGTTTTATAGAACATAACTTATCATGATAATAATCAATAAGGAAATCATGTATGACTCTGTTTGAAATAGCTGAGATGAAACACATGGTGTGGATAAAATGAAACTGATCATGAAATCATTGAACAGACTTTACTGATGGGATGTGTGATCAAATGAAATGTTTAGATCATTAATAAAGGTTTGTCTTTCAAAAACAAAAACAGGATGTTCTTCTTGTGTTATGTCCAAGGTGCCATACGAAGCTGATGGAGAACATGTGGAAGTGATCTGAGACTAAATGAAGCTCAGCGCAAGTTCAACCAGGAAGACCGTCTTTACTCCTTCATTTACTATTTACATGTTACTACTCTCTCTCTCCTCTCAATAAGTGATCGGGGGCGTCACTCCCCAGCTTAACCAATCACTTCTTATAACTAAGTACTTTTACTGTAGGCTACTTACAGTAAGCAGAGTTCTAGGGTATCATGAGTATTTTCTGCTGTTTTATACTATATGTTAGTTTGTTGGTCTGAACACCTTGTTTCTCTTGTGCATTAAGAACACTTGTGTTAGGGCATGATTTAACAATAAATAGGTTATATATACAGTATCAAATACCACGTACTGTCCGCCCTCCCATGCCACCCTGGCATGACCTCTTGCCCCCCCTTTGCCACCCCATGTAAAAGGTTCTAGAACCGCCACTGCCCCTACACCCTACCCCTACACACTACCCCTCCGTTTGCGCGGAGGGTCTGCCACATTAAGTGCTGTTCCAAACCAACGAGTGTGGAGGGGGAGTGGGTTATCAAGCCCTCAAACAGCGAGTCTGCATCGGTGCTGACTGGAGACCACCTGACCGGTCTCTACCTGACCGGTCTCTACCTGACCGGTCTAAGCGCTGTGTGTGTCCGTCAGGAAACACGCTGTTCACAAACAGTTCCAGCAAACATCCACTGATAAACTGCGATGTTAACAACCTCATGATAACCTCATATTTCTTTAACTTAGGATCATACCTGTGTTTAGTCTAGAAAAAGGTCAATGTGTGCATTTTATTATAAAGTTGTGTATATTTACAGACTGTTGCAAAAACTAAGAAGCTTATAAACATCAGGTTTAAAACTAAAAGAGCTTTACAAAAAAGTAACACAGTTAAAGATGTTTGGAGTTTATTTGAGTTATTAATTTTAATGTTTTGTCAAAGAGATGCTGATTTGAAACCGTTGTTACATACAGTTACGGCATTTCCTGTTTCTGCCGGAGAGAGGGGAGTTTGTCCCAAAGCTTGCCGCTGTATTTACTCCCTCCATCTGACAGGAGGGAGCCTTGTTAAGCTGCGAGTGTCTCTCCGTCACGGAGGGGGAGTGTGTAGGGGTAGTGTGTAGGGGGAGTGTGTAGGGGTAGTGTGTAGGGGTAGTGTGTAGGGGTAGGGTGTAGGGCGTGGTTTGGGATTGGGCCTCTATCTGTTTTATTAGGGACTGTACGACAATCATTGTCGTAGGGATGGGAGCTGAATTATGTATTTTAAGCAACACTCTCCAGCATTTTCTATATTTGATTTGGGACTTCTTCTCTTGTTAACAATATAAATGTAGACAGTCATACTCTTGCAGAAAAGGTACTCTACACATCCTTCAACTGTAACTCCTCCTCCGTATGGGTTATCATCTGTGCTCATTTCCTTATTTACTTTTAAGAATAAAGTACATTTTGAAAGTGAACACAGGAGAAGTAGCAGCCGGTGATAACAGTCATACATCAACAGTGGTGTTAGGTAGATGTAGAAGTATTAAAATAGCATCTTTACTGCCTGTGTTAGTGTTTCATGATGATTTTTATGTATAAAAGTGTATTCTTTGGGAGAAATCACATTTTTTTAACCCATTCATGATCAAAAAGTTGCACAAAACCTGTTTATGTATGTGCTTTTAAATGTTCCTCATTATGCCTGTGTCCTCTTTGTGTTGCATGATGGGAGAGGAGCAGTTCATCTGCATCCTGCTGAGGATGAGGAGCCTTTGATAGCAGGGGATGTGAAGGCTGACATTTACAGAGGAAGGGGGGGGGGGGGGGGGGGGGGGGATAAAGACGGAGTCGCTTTGACCCTCTGCATGTCACTCAGAGTCATTACAGTCTGCTGTGAGGGGGGGTTTCATTAGTATCATTGTATCTGTTCTCTTACTTTAAAAAACAACCGTAATTGGGAGAAAATACGTTGACATTTCTACTCAATAACTAAAATACCCTGATTTCCAACCTGATGAGTCAGACTGGGATCCACCGGTCGTTTGGAGGGCGGCTTCTCTCACGGTTCACCGGTCGTTACGTAACCGCGTACTTTAACTTAACCTCTGAGCGGGAAGAGTTACGTAACGCTCCTGTTGGCCTGGATTTCATGTGGAACTTTAAAAGGAGCAGAGAGAGGAAAGGTTGGACCGTTAACAAATGTGTGATATTGTGGAGTCTGCAG